ATATCATAGTAGTAAGCCACTGTCTCACCGGTGCCCATGAATCTTATCACTGTAGCATTGACTTTATATAGTGCCAGACATTTAAATATCCAGCTGTATGGGTCGAATGCTTTTGTATGGTCGATCCATGTTAGTTTTTCTTTCTTTGTAGTCTTGGCAAATAATCTTGTCCAGCATTAGTTGAACTTTCATAATAATGTTATTATTACGTATTAACTATATTAACTATGTATGTATTTATGTATTAACTAGTATGTTTTAACTTTCTGACATTTTTAAGAAATTTTGCAATGGATGCAACGGTAACTAAAGCGATTTCATCTTTGGTAAAATGTGAAACTGAAACTAGTTGAACATCCTGGAGAAATTTACAAAGAAATTGGTTCTTTGGTAAGTGGAAAAGTATATACTAAAATTTAGCGTTAAGTCAAGATTTTTGGATCTCGCGTGCTTCGTTGTTCGATCTCATATAAAGTTTAAAGACAGTTCTAAAGTTTATATCTTCAGAGATGTTTTATGAGATAGTTTAAACAGCGTTATTACATTATATCGATTCACCAGTGGCGCTGCATTTGACCTCTTTCCATGTATATTTTTTATTCATTTATTCTAATAATGCGTTATTCCTTTGGTATTGTCATTATTCCTGTTATTTTTGAATCAGAATTTTAAAATGAGCCAGCTGCGGTTGCTGTGTCGCTGCAGAGTGCGACAAATAATAAACGGAAATTTGTTTGTAATAATTATCTTGCCGTTACATAAATTCAGGCGAATATAACTTTGCAGTGCTTCCCAGGACCGTGTTTCTATTGTGATCTATCGAACAGCGGCCGAGCGGTGACATAACACGACTGTCAAAAGTGTTTATGACACTGTTTGCGATTATCGGGTTTGTCTGGCCCAACGGCTGTTCTGATAGCAGAACGAAGGACGTTTTCCGGAGATCGAGAAGCTTTTGAGTGGGATGTCGGCACTGTGAATTTTTTTATGTCCACGCTGTGCTTTGAGCAAAACCTGCAGTGCTGCAATTGTAGAATTCAAAAACACACAGCCTGCCGCCGATACGCGTTTGTGTATTGAAAATGCGCCAGTTTTCTGTTTACTCGATGATAAGCGACTGTCACCTCATAATAAGTTGACGGTCGCATTGATCGTAACACTTCTGCTGGCATTTGTCGCAAGTGAGTCGTTAATGTTGCATCGTGGCCTGTTATCCATTCGTAAACCTTTGCAGTGATTTCGTATTGCCGTTTGAGTCAAATCATTGACGTCCTCAAGTTAAGCTTCTGCTTGTTTACACGTTAATTTTGTACAGTTTGAAAATGACAATAAAAATGTTTATTTCTAAATTAACCACTTCCATGTTTTAGAAAATGCGGTGAAAAAAATATGTAGATCATCTGCTTGGAAGAAATCTTTGAAGGTGCATTTCAAATTTTTCTGCAATCTGCTATCGTCAGTAGTGTCTCTAGATGAAGTTATCAGTAGTTTTTGCCGTCGTTATCGCCTTCGGGCCTGCAGCAGCAACGTCAGCGACGCGTTCTGATGAGGTATGCTGTTTACGCGTTTGCTTTTTAACCGTAACATAATGCTGCCTTAAGAAAGAATGCAGTGGCGGAAAGCGGTGCATATTCTGCATTAAAAATTTTCTCTGTTTCTTCATTAATAATGATCAACAGAAAGTTTTTGAGCGAAAGAATAAGTATTGTTTTCAGCCTTCTTTTTAGCGTTTTCCGGTTAGCTTGGGCTGTGTACGAGCCAGTTTTATCATGCGATCTTTGTTCAAATCTAGTCAACCCATGCATATTACTATACTTCTTTCCAGATTTGCGCTATCTTTTTAGTCTTCTTCTCTTTTCTGATATTATCGTTTTGGACCACATTGTCTGTATTGTATCTCATTGTTTCTAGTCTCATTTGCATGGAGTTACAGATCCCAGTTTCATCTAATCAGGCGATTAAATACAGTGAATTTTATGTTTTGAAGCAGCCCGAAATCGTCCCCTTCGAGTATGCCCAACCCTCAAGACAAATAGCATGATGATTTTACTGTTTGAATAAGATCACGCATTAACACTGTTTTCTAGATTTAAACAAGAGCCACATCACATAATAATGATACTAACAAATGCCAGTATAATTTGAAACACTGAGTAAGAAACAGAATGGATAACTCCACCAAATGAGGTTAGATGGCATCATGTAATTGTCAACACAACTTGCCCCTTGATACTTAGAGACTGTTTAGCTTGGCTACAGTTTCTTGTCATTTTGACAGTTTCAGTTAACTGATTAGTCTTGCTCTTAAAATGCCTCACGATTCAAATTAGAAAAAAAAGGAATAAGGCAAAAAATGGGAGAAAAAGGTGCCTTGCTAGTTTTTTTTTAACAAGAGATTGTTCATTGACGATATTACAATACTAGTTGAAGGAATATATACTACGCAACGCTGCAGATAGATCTTCTTCTAGGTATTGCTAATACTGCACTGACTATTGCATAATGAAAAAAAGTCTGCAAGTACGTGTTTCTAGAATTGTGCAGGACGCGAACCCACTCATGTGTGTTCTTTGTGCTTTGTTACAGTTCCTCGGAAGAAAGATAAGGCACAAGGCACGCCGCAAGAGGAAGTCTTATACACGTACTAACCTCCAGGCGAAATCCTGGAGCCAAACACTATTTGTCATGTGTATCTTTTCAATGACTTGCATAGCAGGATCATTACTAAAAATGTTTTACAACGCAAATGAAAACACTTAATCTTAGATTTTTCCAAAATTATTTTGCTTTTATCAGAATTTATTGTCGTTGACAGATTGAGGAAAATGAGACAAATAACTTCGTTGCCAGTTGATTTGACTGCCAAGTTGCTCTGGGCTTGTGATTCGTCAGTTATTGTTTATTTCACGTTTGATTTTATTAGTTATATAGGTGAAGGCATCTTCTGTATCCATTTTTGATCAGTTTGGAAAGGAACCCTTTGATAGTTTTGTAAACCTGTAAACATTGTATTGGAATTGCTGACTGTTACTCATTTAGCATGAAAATCTTTTTTAAACATTTTTGCTCTTACTTATCTATCAGTGAAAGAAATAACAGTGATGGTTTAGCAGTCGTTTGACCTGTTTGTTCCGTTCGACATTCTGTTCGTTTCGACGATCAATGGCGACATTGCAGCGGTTGATGCAGCAACTGGGGCCCTACGATGGTCAGTGAAAGAGAGTATGTGGCAACTAGCCTTGGACAATATTTTCTATTAAATATTGCTTTTTAGCACCGATAGTTCGTTCAACGTTCCCTACGGAGTCGCATTTTACGTTTCTTCCGAACCCGCAAGACGGGTCTCTTTATACGTTGACCGAAGATGGACTTAAAAAGTTACCTTTCAGCATCCCTGCACTGGTACACGCAGCACCTTGCCGGTCAAAGGAAGGCATTCTGTATGCCGGTGCGTATCCGATGTCTCATGGTTTGGTATGCCTTTTATGATTTTCAGGTAAGAAAGAGGATACATGGTTTGGCATCGACCCAAAAACTGGGAACATAACTGAAACGCTCAACTTTTCACCTCGCGACGCACTCTGCCCAGCTCCTAGTGATGCCGTGCAATACATAGGTAAAACTGAGTATCACATCGCATTGGCAGATGTCCACAATGTCTCAAATAGGTAGTTGCCATCGCATGCGTCGATCTGATCTTTTCTGCTAACTCACTACTTAGGTGGAACGCGACATATGTCGAGTATTCGTCCTATAATTGGCGTGACAAGTCTGAAGCTGATACGAGATACTTTTCTTCATGTTCCGATGGACTGTTGGTCGCTGTCGATCCAATAACTGGTAAGAAACGTTCCGTTTAGCGGGGGAGGGGCTTAGAAAATTGACCAACAAACTTTAAAACTCTGATAAATTGGAATTTTTTGCTTCTGAATGCCGTTTGCACTGATACAAAGTAATTGGTTAGTTGCATCGTGTAGTTGAAGAGTTATTTTAAAAAATTAAGGCCAGCTTAGCTTGATGAAGGCAAAAGTTGTCTTCATGTTTAAATGCGAATCGAAATCGTTGTCGTTTGCGAAAGCTTTGTCACTTTGCTTGGAGAATTCTTTGGATTTGCAGATGTGATTTATGTTTAGCACTTGAACGACTTTCTTTTAGCTTTTGGCTTGGAATCTAAAGAGATAAAATTGTTCATCTGAAGCGATTTCTAGCTTTAGCGAGATACTTGATGCTGATAATAGGCGTGCAGAACAAAAAAATAGAAGACCTTACTACTGTAATATCCAGATCGACTAATCCTTGGTCATTACCAGGAACGAGTCTGAAAATATTATAATTTGTTGGTACGCTGATCTGCTGAAAATTATTAACTGAATAGAAAGTAAATTGTAAAATATATCCGGTGTCAACTTTTCGATCCGCGACTCTTCTTCATGATGTTTCTTCACATGAAATAATGGTTGTCTTGGTCGTTTTGGTTTGCATAGGAGCCGAAAAGGAAATTTCAGTTCATGTTTTATATATATATACTTGACACCGCTGGTTGATTCATGGGTAAGGCGTTAATTTATTCGAATTACACAGGGCACAAAAGTTTTTAGTACAGGACCAAGACTTCGGCTGACGTTATTAGCCCTTCTCATCTGCAAATAATCAGGATGATATACAAGATAGTCAGGAAGTATTTGCAACTGATTTTTTGCTCTTTATCTGTAGTTTACACAAGTAACGCCAAGATTGAGAGATATAAACTCCTTTATCTCTGTTCATGACGTTGAATGTTGTCTGGATTAAGAGCCCTTTGGCAAATGAGCATTTTTTTCAGCTTCCAACCGTTCTTATTTCGATTGGACAGTTAAAATCGACGCTATGTCCGGTGGAAATATGGTGGAGAATTGCTGTCGAACATTTTTCAGCTGTTGCTTCTCTTCGATCGTCGAATTCATTATGGTTGCGGCTCTCTTATGCTCTACCCTCCCAGTCTGTAGTTGTCTGGTAGTTTGACCAATGTGTGGTAGCTGGCAATCTGAGCAATTTATTGAGTAAATTACATAGGTCGTTACTTTGATCGTTATTTTATCCTAAGTCTTCATCAAGCGATATCTTAATTTCTCGTTTGATTTGAAGACGGTCCTGATGTTTGCCTTTTCCAGCACACGTCTAATCGAACTCTGAAACGACGGAACACAGGGAATGCAGACGGTCGATGTCAGAGTGAGCGTTCGTGTTCGTGCTTTGAGTAATTTGTTCGTCATCAGCGCGAGGAAACTCATTCGATCTACGACTCCTGCATAGGTTGAACGCAGGTGAAAATAAGCGCTAAATTATGAAGAAACATGAGTCGCATACAGATTACCCCTATGAAGTAATGCTGTAGTATGTTGTGGTACTGTTTTCAAGAGGAAATCAAACATCCATTGAAAGAAATCGTTTGCATGCCCAGCTAACTTGTCGCAGTGGATTTTCCGACGTTAATGATGTTTTTGTAGAGATACTTTAGGCAAAATATGTTGGCACAGAAACTTCAGTTCTACTGTGGTAGCTGTTTACGAACTTGGCACAGAAGGATTGAAAAAAATGCGAATGAATGTCCTCGGTCGAAAAACGCTCTATAATATTTTGTTCAACAGTCTTGCTCAACCAGCGAACAGCAGGTTTTTCGTTCCTTCTGAACGAGCTGAAAAAGCACTACTGTAAAAATAGTGTTAATGTCTTGTTGTTTATTTCAACGTGTTTTTAGTCCTTCGTTATACATTGGCGCTAATCATAACGGTCTTTACGCAGTACCGGCCTTCGTGGATCAAACAACTTTCGTCATTGGAGTAAATTTAATGTTAACTATTATGGCATGCTTTAATAAATAACATTACTTTTAGTGGCGAAGGCAAAATGTTCCACTTTTAGAAGGCCCGCATCCGATTGCTGATCCAAACGCAGAGAATAATCATACAGTAAAGAGAGGAGCTTATCCAGAAGTGAACCTTGAGTCCGTGACTTACGCATATTTCAACACCTCAGCTAATGGAAAGGGCCATTTGCTGCTGGGTTAGTATCTTAAAGGAGCGCTTTCTTTTCATTCACTCGCTTTCGTAGCCCACTGTTTCTTTCAGACTGTACAGTCAGCAGCTTCATGAAATTGTTTGTGGCCCTGGTCGTCCACTGTTATTATAAGCGCCATAAGCTGAATTTTATTGTGCAGGCTGCTAAAAATTTACTGTAGCTGATCCATCTTGTTACTTATCTGTCACTCTGTGGTCTGAAGTGTGACATGGGAGTGCATAGGAGTCTTTCCCCAATGAGTCTGTTTTCTGACATCTTGATCACATGCACCATGTCATTACAGCTGTAATCTCTCGATCTAAGGAATGGGCGATTAACAAATGATGGCATCGTATATTTTCGTGCATTGTCATATTTCAAATAATTTTGGTGGTTAGATCTGATTTATGAAACAGTTAAGATTTTTGAGACTGCTCAATGTTCAACAGAAATTGTGAACAGAAACAGAACTTTGTTTAACAGAAATTGTTCCTCCTGCTTGTAAGTAAGAGGCGTGTTCGATAATTCTGATACAGCTACCCCTGTTGTTCGTAGCAGAGTGTCTGTCTAACTCTGTCATACTATCCATTTGGGTGTCAACTAGGCTTAGCACAAAGCTCGAAAACATCTTCAGAATGCCCACGTCAGAACTGTTCTTGACTCTTCCGACTGACAGACTCTTCCTTAATTTCGTAATTGACGCATGATTTCATAGCAAAGTATTTAATTACTACATGAACTTGAATCAGCAAAAACAGCGGTTCATGACCTGGACAACTATTTTCAGTTGTTCCTTTTTTAATGCAAGTTTAGGAAACCGTTTCAGGTTCCGAAAGTCGTATACTTTATGCTAATGTTGTTTCGTGTTACGTGAACTTTTTGACCAAACCCCGAAGGTTCATTTTCACCATGTTGATGATTGTACAATATATGGATAGTGTGGCATCATCATGGTCATATGAACTTGCGTATATTACATATAATCGTTTTATCAAGAGCGTGCCTTCAAAGCTGAAAGGCCCTTTTACCTACTTAGATCTGAGTCCCTTGTCAACACGATGAACAGCCTGTGTTAAATATGCACTGTCGTTAATTTAATTTTTCTAACTTGTGTCACTAATTTTTAGGCTACTATGATCTACCAACAACCATGTCCTCTTACGTCATATTCGATGCTGCAATGTCTTCCTTGAAGGAGATTAGTTTCATCGCGGAAGATTCTTTGGATCTTTCGCTATATCCTCTGGACCTGAGGAACAAAACGTGGCCTTACAGTTGTGTGGTGTTCAGCGTGTACTCTTCGATAATTGGTTTATTCGCTTTTGCGTTGGTTACGTTGTTGGTCGCCCTGCTATACAAAGTAAGTCTGCTACTGTTTTCTTGATTTTCTTTACCTTCATTCTTCATCTTCGATGACCGCTTCTCCTCTCGGGTCGCGAAGGCTGACACCTCACAAAGTACCGTCAACGTTCCCAATTCTGTCCTGGAGTCTGTGCATCGGCAGAAGATGATTAAACTTTAGAGCGGACTCTTTCCACATATTTGCATCAAGTTAATTTTGGCCGTCCCCTGGACTTTCTGCCCATCGGCTGAGCAAGAAGCAATTGATTCGCCTTATTTCCTTTTGGCATTCGCAGTATGTGCCCAAACCATCGCAGCTGTCACTAATCAGTCTGAACAAGCAGTACTGTACACCCAGGCTCTGTCAGATTTCTGTAATCCAGACTAAGTCCAGACGCGTACGGTATATCTGCCAGTCTCAGAAAGTCCATTTCGGCCGTTTGTAGCCGGAATCGAAGTATTTCACTGTCCGTCCACGATTTTAGCATGGGGATGAATATCGACTTGAACATTGAGATTTTAGTTTTCAAACTCAGCTCTGCTTTAGTCACAATGGTTCGTGCTAATTCACGAAAAATGCCAATGGCCACTCCAATCCGCCGGTCTGTCTTTTCCTCCCTCAAATTTCTATCACCAGTAAACACGACCCTGAGATACTGGGACTTCTTTACCTGCTCCATTGCTTCTTAGTTTATCTGAATGGAGCAACGGACAGTAGAACGAGAACGCAATGGATTTTTCGTTTTTGATACGTTGACACATATGCCATGCCACATTATGCTGCGAACTTTTCCAGCGAGCGCTGTAAATCAGTTTCAGAAGATGCTAGCAATACGCGTACTCTACAGACAGCAACTTTCTTACGCTGATACTTTCATCAACTTGGCTGCGCCTGACTATTCCATCTTTGTAGCCACACAGGAGACGGGTCATAACGTGGCCTTTGCGGACACCAGTGCCAATGCTGAAACGTCGCGGCTTAACTGTATTTACTCTGCGCCTGCTATCAACACAGTTATTGGTTGGCTCATAGAAACTGGCCACCAATCCCATATGTTTGCAGGCATTCCATAGACTGATGCGCGGGATCTGGTCATAGAGTTTATCTAGGTCCACAAAGCACACATTTGTTGGACGAACTCCCACAATTTCGCAACAATCTATAATGGGCGAATCTCTCTGGTCAGATGTGCTTCGATATGCCGGAAGCCACATTTTACTTCTTGTCTTATGCAGTCAGTTATTCCGCAATACCTTCTTTGTAGCTCCTTTGCGTAGACTTTACCCGTTAGGCTCAATAAAGTAATGTTCGGATAATAGGAGCACTCCCTGTGGTCTCCCTTATTGAACAGGGTTACAACAGCTCCCATTCTCCAGTCCGCTGGTGCCTTCCCCTTAGTCATCGCAGTTTGATAGATACGTGTAAGCTTGCACATGCCTTGTTCGCCTAATGCCTTGAGGGCGGATTTCATTAATTCCAGCAGCCTTTCCACTTTTCTAGCTTTTCACAGCTTGTGTAATTTCATCTACTGGAAAAATAGTATGTTCCCTGCTGCACTAGAGACGAGTATTCTTGCGGCTGCTCGTGGCTAAGAAGTTATTCAGAGTACTCTCTCTATCGCCGAAGAATGTTCTTATCCTTGTGTCCAGACCTTTACTTCAACAGTTTTAGGCTGCCCTTTTCATTTTGGAGCCGGCGGATGGTTTTCCAGAATAGCTTGTTTGCCGTCTGGAGAGGCGACTCAGTCGCCTCACTGAACTTTTCCTTGGAATCAGCTTGGCCTCTCATCATTGCTTGCGTTGCCTCCTTGCTTACTTCTACATACCGCATGGAAGTTGCAGGATCTTTGCTTCCAGGCCATTTCTTGAATGCCGCGCCTCTCTATTTCAAACGTCCATTACGGCATATCGTGAGTCAGACGATATGGTAATCGAATCGATGCTCGATTTGTGTATAGCTTCCTTATACCAGGTATACCGATGAATGGTTCAGTGTTCGAAGATGTTCATAATAGTCAGTCCGTTGTTTGCACACAACCGCCGCACTGAGGTCGCTAGGGCTGTTTTTCCAATCACGCCTCTCCACTTTTCAGTGTCTATTCCGACCTGCTAAAATCGCCCATTAGAATGAGGGATCCATAGTAAGCAATTCGTACGGAATCTACTCCAATTCCTCAATGAGAGACATATTCTCGCTCCAAGTTGGGCGACTGACATTTAAAAATTTCAACTCTTGCCTGTAGTAGCTTTAGTTTGAGGATTATCACTCTTCCGTTGACAGACTTAAGGATTCTGAGAAACAGGTTGGGTTATACCAGAACACCAAAACTTGCCGAGCTTGCATCGTGGTGTTGACTCATGAGTAGAATAGCTTCCGTCTGCAGAAGTTCAGAATTCCAGAGCCTTTCCATTTCATTGACGAGTGTCTTACTATATCGAGTTGGTATCTTGCAGCCTCACCAGCAAGGTTTTGCTCTTTCCGTCTCATTGAGAATATGTTCCAGTTTCTGACTGTAATCTCCCACTGGCGGTATTGTTTCCGTAGAGCCTTTCCATATATTCTGTTGGCTTTGCGCTGTCTGCCTGCTCCGTTCAGAACTTGTAGCGACTCCGTTGCTGATTGGTTTCTTTGTCATCGTTTCGTTGATCTTCGGCAGCTGTTATGCCTTCGCCTTCGGCTTCGGCTGCCAAAAGGCGATGAGCAGATCACCTGCCTCAGTCTCCCAACGGCCTGCAAGGCCCTTGGTACCCGAGCGACGACCTTACCATTATGATGTTCGATGACGGCAGTACCATGGGGGGCAGGTTTTCATGAAACTTTATTTTGTTTGTCTTGGTTATTTATGCCCGTTATGTTTTAGAACAAAGAATCTGTGCTACCAGATCTCGTGCTCTCGTCAAGGTTCTTCCTGTCCCTTTCTCGCAACTCTGCCGATGATGGTGTCTTCACTCGCATTGGCAAAATTTTAGTGAATTCATCCGAAATCATTGGTCGAGGATCGGACGGAACCGTCATTTTTGCGTAAGTCGTATTTTGAGTTTTTTGGCTTTGTTTTCCCTATGTCCTATTTTTATACGTTTTTATGTTTAGCGGAAAATTTGACAGCCGCAATATTGCAGTTAAACGCATTGTGCTGGACTACGTGAAACTCGCGGATCGCGAAGTGAATGCTCTGCGGGAAACTGACACGCATCCAAACGTTATACGATATTTCTGTATGGTAATCACTTGTTTCATTGCATGAGAGATTTCATTGCAAAATTGTTGTGTTCGATTCGTGCTTCTCAGCTTAGTAGTACTCTGTTTAATTATTGTTCCAAATATAAGTTTTCCGGGCAAAATTATTTTTGCTTCGCTAACAAAAAATTTTTTTAATTGGTCTAACGTTCTGGAAACTTTCATATTCTTTCCCAATTTTAAATCAGCGCAGAATAATTACTACTGAAAGAAAACATGTCACATGGTCGATAAAAAGGAAGTTTCTACCCGTTGGGTTGTAGATCTCTCTAACGCTTTCATGATGGACACCATTTTTGATACCCTTGTTTGATCATCTTTTGGTGTGACACTTGATGTCATCAGTCAAGGATGCATTCTTTGTGAAAATAGTTTGTACATCGATTCAGCATGAATTGCCCTCGAATACTAATTTGTTCCGCTCATACCTTATGTAATTTCTTTCTTTTTTACGTTGCGACGGTGATTTGATGGCAGTTCTTATTCGTTTCAGTTCAGCTTATTTTTCTCTACATTTTAAAATTGGACTGAAGCACAGATGTCTAAGTAAAGTGGTCTTTCCAGATTTTTGTCTACCTCCAGCCGTGGAATCAGATTCTTGTTGATGTTGCTGTTCTCCAAATTTGAATTAGCGCGAACTTCGAAATCATGTTTTTAATTGTATTTTCGTTTCATATAAATTTTTATAGGAAGCGGATAGACAGTTCTGTTATATTGCTCTTGAACTTTGCTGTTTTACATTGGAAGAGTTCGTGGAAAACAAAAACATGCCAATGTCCTGCACTCTGAATGTTCTCCACGCTCTTTACGAGACAACTTCTGGTTTGGCATGGCTTCATGATTTTGGCATGGGTAAGTTTCGACAATCTTTTTGCATCTGTCTATTTTGCATTTTTTTAGTACATCGTGATATAAAGCCGAGCAATGTTCTGTTCTCTGCGCCGGATAAGACAGGTTCAGTTAGAGCGAAAATTTCTGACTTCGGGCTGTGCAAAAAGGTTTCTCAGGCGTCGGTTACGCAATCAGGATTCGCAGGAACACTTGGATGGACTGCTCCGGAGATGATGCAGGATCAAGAGGCTGTAGTGCGTGTTTCATCATGTTTCTTTTCGGTTCAGATGCCTTTGCTTGCTGCACGTTTACTCCCCTATAGTTGCTCCCTGATCTTCTGCAGATGTTACGTCCTAAAGCACGGCAGTTGGTGCACAGCTATAACAGTTTCAATGATTCGAATGGAAATGTCTCTGCAGCTGGTTTATATTACGAAGGGCAAACCGTAGTTACCCTACCTGGGCAACTTGTTCATCAAAGGCAGGAGAAGGAATAGAAGATTTTCTGGAAATGCAAACTCGGCCAGAAAAAAATGTCCAGACTGCACACTTCGGGG